GAGGAGGATTGGCAATAGATGTTAGCTCAGAGCCGGTCTTCCTCAGCAAAAAGAGGAGGATTAGCATGGATGTTAGCTCAGGGCTGGTCTTCCTCACAAAATAAAAAAAAAAAAGAAGTGTTGAAGACGGGAGATGAGTACATAGGGATTCGTAATACTATTGTCTCTACTTTTGTTTACACTTAGAATTTTCTGAAAGAAAAATTGGGTACACTATTTCCTAGAATTCTCAGAGGTTTACCCAAATGCTCTCTGGTCTCCCTTAGTCCATGGGCTCAGAGAAGGTCATCTGTCCTCTAGACGGGTGGGGCGGGGTTGTTTTATACATCCCCGAGCCACCGCTGGCAGCTTTCACCATCTTTCCACTCCATGGACCACTTTGCCCACTCATGAGCAACTTGGCCAACCTCTGCCACAGCCTGGCCACTGGGCCACTAGTGGGCCTTGGCCACAGCTATGACCCCCTCCCTTACCCCCTCCTCCAGACCACTGACCTCTCGTGTGTCTTCTCCTCCAGCCAGTAGGGAACCACCTTCTACTTGTCATCACCAACCCTGTCAGAGGTGGAACCCACAGCAGAGCACCTGGGATCCCAGTGACCCACTCTTGCCTCTGCCCCTCAGCCCCACAGACTTCCCCAGAGGGTGAAGCTCGGGCACACCCTCATACACACCCAGGCCGCCTGGCTCTTTCACTTCCAGACCCAGCTGCTCAGGCTGGCCTCTCTGCTGAACAGCTTCCTCCCTCAGGGTGCTTCCTGGCTCTCTCTCCTGCCGCCGTTTTCCATCAATCTCAGCCCAAGGAAAGATCTAAGTGGTTCTGACTCTAAGTGAGGCTGAGTTCCTTACTACCTGGCTCCTGAGCCCCAAGCAAATCAAGAGGTGAATGTGTCTGGACACTTGTGTCAGGTCCCTGGAGATTTGCAAACTGTTAAAAAGCCCTGGAGAGGCTCTGGAACATTCTTCAATTGTTAGGAGGTGGGTCCAACCAGTTGGGTGACTCTGCCTGATGTCTCACACCTGTGGGGTCCCTGACTCAGCTGAAATCCAGAGTTATAGGGGTTTTGGTATGAAATATGAAGGGTGGCCTGGGAGGAGAGACGACTGGAGGAGGAAGTGAAGTCAGGCTGGACAGCAGGGTTGGAGAAGATGAAGGGGTGCCTGACATATGTGGAAGCAGAATTGCTAGGACTTGGTGACCAGTTGGATGTAAGGGTTAGGGAGATTTCCAGGCTGGGGACCAGGTGAAAGGTGATATCCTTAGCTGGGATAGAAAATAAAAGAGGACCAAGTTCAAGTGTGATCGTTGAAATGGAATACCCATGAATGCCTCGGTGTGGGTAGAGGGGCATAGCTGGAAGTTGAGGTCTAGAGCTGAGGTGAGCCAGACACGCTGAGTATGAGAAACCACTGTAGGTGTGGCGCCTACATCCAGGGCTCAGAGGCATCTCTCAGAGATGGGGTGACCATATGGCCCAGTCCCGGTTTATATCTGCTGTCTTAGTGTCTGGTTTATGCCTATTGTCCCAGTTTGGATGACAAACCCACTCAAGACAGAGCCTACAGAGTAGAGAAAGAAAAGTGACTCTAAGTCAAGCCCCTTTTCATCCACTTGCTTCTTCCGGCCTCCTCATCCTCCTACCTCAGACCCTCCATTCCCTCCTTAGACTCCTATGTTTTCACCTTTCTCTATTTTCTTCTGCCCTTCTGCCATGTTTTTCTTTCCCACTTCTCTAGGGAAGAATGCACCCCCACCTCTACAGACCCAAGTGAGCTCTGTCCACCTTGGTTACCCCGAGTCACACCTCTGTGGTGGCTGAAGGAAGAGAAAGCCTGAGGGCTGGCTACCCAGCCTTCCCCCAGGGGACAGGCCGTGAGCAGTTCTGTGTGTTGGGCCTTAGCACCAGCTGGAGGCAGGAGGCCTGTGTTCTCAACACAGCTCTCCTTCTTTCCTGCTGTGTGATCTTGGAGCAAAGCATTTCTGCTTTTGGAGTCTCCCTTTCTTTCCTCTGCAGAAGATGGAGGTGGAGCAAGTGATCTGAAGTGTCTCTTCCTGCTGAGAAGTTGAGTTCATCTCATCCGTTGCCATTCCTCTTGGAGCTCAGGTCAGATCATGTGGGATGTCAGTCACCTGGGAAGAGATGGTTTTGTGTGTACCTGTGTGAAGGCCTCGCTGAGGTACTGGCTGAGGACTAGGGTCCACGGAGCCCTTTAAGGACCGGCCTGGGGGCTAAGGCCTACTTCTTGGCGGCCACACGGCCCCTCCACAGTCCTGCACCAGCCCCTGATCACCTGCAGAAGGCGCTGCAGACACATTGAGGGCCAAGGGAGTCCTCCGGCCCTGCGGCCCGGTTGAGGTCACCGTAGCTCCTGGGAAGGGCTTCCCAAGAGGAGCTCCGGAGTAGGAGCCAGAGGGGTTGGAAGGAAGAGGGGAGGAGAGCAGAAGAGGAAGAGCAAATTAGAAGAGAATGAGAGAAGGGTCCGAGGGAGAGGACTCCACCGCCGGTACGTGCCTGAACCTCAGTTTCCTCATTTACAGAACGGGCGGGACCACATACCGTGTGCTGTGTACATGCTGGAGCAATCTGGCTCGCCTGACTTGTGAAAATCGGTGAGAGGGCGCTGGGAATTTGGAAAGTGCTCTGTAGTGGCGCTGAGAGGGTGGTATTAGGCTGCAGTGACAACCAGGGAAGGCAGTAGGATTTGTAGTCAAACCCAGGTTCAAGTCCGGGCTTCCACTTGACCTCTCTGAGCCTCAGTTTGCTCATCCGTGAAATGGGGTTAATGAGGCGGCCTCGCCCGGCTGTGTGAAGCTGGAGGTGACAAATGTCTTAGAGGCAGCGACCGCTGCTGGCATCGCAGCGGCTGAAGTGAGGGCAGGAGCTTTGGGAAGCGGAGCAGGACCGCGGGGGGTGGGCGACGACTCCCGGAGGCCCGGCACGAGCGGGCGAGGAGGCGTCGCTCCGGGCGGGGAAAAGGGGGTCCAGACACACTCGGCGGGGGCTGGGGGAAGGCCGACGCCCACCTCGACCCTGCACATCCCGATTCGCGTCTTCGTTCTCGCTCCAGGCGCCCGTGTGGGCTCCCCCGACCCCGCTGTC